AGCTGAAGAATGGTCTAGGAGTGTTCAGCGTATGTAAAAATGTCATTTTGACAACGTTAAACGTTAACTTTCTTTAACGTTAACGTTAAAAGTGACCAACGTTAAACGTTGAAATTAACGTTAACGTTAAACGAAAATTAACGTTGACTAACGTTAAAGCTGACAGTCCTACATCAAAGTCGGCGTTCCACCTATAAGAAACATTTTCCATCAAAAACTAACGTCATATTCGTGCTCGGCGTCAAACACTGCATTTAGTGATGTATCACTTGAAGTTTAACAAAACTTCTCCTTTCATCTAAAAATAACATCTGAAGACGTTGTTTTAGTGATCAACACTACACACCTCACAGCGGAACAAAAGCATTTTTGACAAGCAAAATTTTTGCGAAAGAAGAACTTTTGCTAAACTGCGAGTGACACATCATTAAATGCAGTGTTTGACGCTGAGCACGATTATGATGTTAATTTTTGATGGAAAATGTTTCTTATAGGTGGAACACCGGTTTTGATACTCAAAAATCCGTTTTTCCTTCTGAACTGAAAAGTGTAAATTTCTCTTTTCATACCCGCATACACTAACTACTTGACTACATAGTCCGGCTCTGTCACATTATTACGCTAACTTCATTTTATATTTAAAAACTAACCCGAACTCTCCAGCTGTTTTCTGAGAGGAGAAATCTGCCGGACGATAGATGCCCCATTTTGACCCATGTTCGAGAGACATCTCCTAAACAATGACATGTGGAGCCACTAAACTTATGCAGGGCTTTTCCCTGCATTACTCTTAGGACTCAAAATTCAGTTAGATAGCAACTAATAGAAAAAGAGAAAGGTAGAGACAGGTAGTACAGAGAATTTTTGGAATATGTCTCAAAGAGAATCTTTTTACATATTTAATGATTTACGTCTTTAACATAAAAAATGTTAACGACAGTCGTCTTTTTAGTCGTTGCACTCCTAAAACTATGATTATTTTTTGTCACTGGTTGAGCTACTAGAATCAGACGTGCGGAAAATAGAGTCCTAAGAATAATGTAGGAAAACGTCCTTAAACAAAATAGGACTACCCACTAGAAAATTTCATCGTACAGACGCGTCTAAAGCGTGTGCGAGTGCAAATTTGTGAAGAAAAATGAAAGACAAATAGGTCAGTGCGGTGAAATTTTCCAGTGGGTATGACCTGTCTTTTGCTTTCAGTTCGATCCATACGGATATTACCTTGAAAGAAAAGTGAAATAAAAAGAAAACATTAAATGATAACTGAATCAAGTGTGTCTGTATATCTTGTTACTTTTTTCTACTTTGACTGAACACAAAGTTGTTCCCGTTCTTGCACTCTTTACTCGAGTGAAGTGGAAAACTATGATATATATTTCCAGTTGGTAATACAAAACTAAAATAGATCATATCTAAATGATGAATGAATAAATGAATTTTATTTTACGCAAAGGTAAGATATCAGAAAAAAGTACAAAACACTTGTGGCATCCGTGGACACCCTGTGATAACCTAAAACTAGTGTTTTAATTTAATGAGAATCTCTTGTATACATATATATAGAAAAGTAAAATAGATATCAGTCATACATTTTATGGTTATATATAAAGTTATTGAAAATTCCTCCGATTATATTTATATATTCCTCCTTGAAAATCTGTGTCTAGCTCTTTTCTTCTAAGAACATCAAACGATTAAAATGAACCACCTTCTGTCCTGGCTTGTCAGTCTTCTTTATCCACATTAAAAAATATGATGGTGAGCGTACAGGCTATCAGTAACTTCATACATAACCAGAAAATGTATGACCGATATCTATTTTACTTTTCTATGTGAGGGATGCCTGATATCTCGCGATTTTAGAGTCTAAAATCGCGATATTTGATCGCGTGTATTTTGTTGATAGTATCAACAAAATACACGCGATATTAGTGAAATTCACGAGATTTTAGTGGCTACGTGAGAAAGTAATATAATACATGAGATATTAGGGCACTAAAACTGCGATATTAGTGAATACATCAGATATTGGCATATCGATCTAGATATTAAGAATTTTCGAGATTTTAGTAAAATACTCGAGACATTAATGAAATACACGAGATATTAGGCAACTAAAAGTGTGATTTGTTGGCAGACTTTTATTATTGGTAGATAAAAGAAATGCATCCAAATACAGCCAGATAACGGGTACTTCACTCGAGTAAAGAGTGCAAGAACGGGAACAACTTTGTGTTCAGTCAAAGTAGAAAAAAAGTAACAATATATACAGACACACTTGATTCAATTATCATTTAATGTTTTCTTTTTATTTCACTTTTCTTTCAGATAATATCCTTTATCCGCTCATTCTAATTCTGTAGGTAATATCAATAGAAAAGGCAACAAAATATTTGGTCTGTAAAATAGATTAAATGATCAGTAAAAGAATATATAAATGCTCAGTTTAAAGATTGAATGATCAGTACTTAGATTATCAGTAAATAATAAGAGAATGATAAGTTTATTATATATAGTAGCAGTAAAAATATACAATTTATATCAGTAAAAAAAAGAAACTTAATAAGTAAAAAATGCAAACTTAAAAAAAGAGAAAAGAGAAAAGAATAAAAATAAATGAAACCTTTAAAAATAAACCTTTTATAATTCCAGCCCTGCATTGTGACTTTGGACGAAATGCTTTATGAAAGCGTCTCAAACTGATCTTGCAAACCTATCTCGTCCTTGGCGTTAAAAGGTAGAACCTTCGTTCTTATGCCATTGGAAGCGTCTTGACACGGAGAACAAACGTTAGTGTGGACAAAGCGTCTAAAAACGAATTGACGAATCGCAATATTTGAGCGTAAAAATGATACAATAATTCGCATTTTACCATTGTTTTGCGAATTCGTAATTCAATGCGAACTGACAAAAATGATGAAAAAATAATCAAAAAGGTGCCCCTTTTGTTCCTCTTACCAATTCGTAAACTAACACGAATTCGTAGGCAAGAAATTACGGGCACCCACGAATTCGTAAATCGAATTGGTCTACTATCGACGAATTCGTGAAATGATCTTTTTGGTCCCCAAGAATTTGTATACCAGTTCGTAAATTGGCAAAGATGCGAATTCTATTTACGAATTCGTAGATGCCAAAGCATATCCGACGAATTCGTAAATTCAATACTTCTCACCTCAATTCGCCGTTATTCTTACGAATTGATGTCAAGGACAAGAAATTTCTCTATGAAGTTAAGAAAACAAAGAATCGTCTCTTGGCTTAGAGGAAAATAGAGTGGAATCTCTCTCCTTTTTGTGTGCATGCGCGGCGGCGGGGGGGGAGGTAGTGAGGGTGGCTGTGAGTATCTAGGCAACAAGCTAAATGATTTGGGTTGTAGTTCAGTCAGTTTGTGAGGCGGTGCGAAGAGACGAACCTATCTATTAACCTCATAGAAATGCTTCTTGTGCTTGACAGCAATTCGTATTTTACGATTTCGTAAGAATAACGGCGAATTGATATTGAAAGTATCCATTTTCAATCGTTGGATCAGTTCGTAATACTAATTAGCGAATTCGTAGTTACGAATTAATCTAGTTCTAAAAGCCGTGAACACGAATTCGTAAACTAATTTTACGAATTATTTGCGAATTGATGAGCATTGTGTCTGATCTATTCGGATATTTACGAATTCGTAAGATGAATTCGTAAGATGAATTCGTAAGAGCTTTTAGGAGTATCCGTATGAACTCGATACAGTTCGCATCAATTGTCCGCGAATTCTCAAAATAAGCATAATATGCGAATTATGGCAGTATTTTTACGCTTGAAAATTCCGCTTCGTCAATTCGTCTTTAGATAGTTTGTCTATTTTTCTTATGTGCTCGTAGATATGTATGTGGAACTTATCGCTCTTTATAGAAAAGAACAAACCTTCTATTTTAATCTATATATTCATCTATTACATGTCCAAAAAAGGCAGTGCTCATGCGATATTCTCCCAACTTCGCAAATTAAAATTAAATTAACTGGAGAGGGTCCATTTTCACTTCTTATACTAGTTTGAAGTACAGAAGTTGCACTATATGCTGATGTATTTTCCTTGATGTTTATTCTCTTTGATGTTTGTATACGAGAGAAAATATATAAAATCTATCTTTTCTTCAACATCTTATTTATCTTTTTTCATAGATTACCTTTTATTAACTCTTATATGGCTTCTCTCACTCTCTGGTTTTTCCCATGTTTTCATTTTTTTACTATTTCAGTTCAAACCAAAATATTAAATTATTAAATCAAAATTATAACTTTTATTACAAACAAAAATATGGCTAATTTTTAGGAAGTCCTAAAATAATACAAATGGTACCAAAAATGCAAGTATACGAATGAAAATGAAAATGACAAACACCAAGATTAATTGCTAATGTTAACTAAACTGGAAGATGTTTTGTTCTTTTTCCTCATACTATAAGTAAGTCCGTCAGATCCAAAGGCTCTAATATGCCTTTTTCTGCTGAACATAATATTAGATTGATTAATCGATCATAAAACATTTTTGATCGTAAATAATATTTTATTTGTTTTAAACGACTAAATGTTATTTTATTTGATATAGTTGTAACTGGTAGTGATAATATAAATATATAGGAATCAGTGTCTAAAGGAAGTGCTCATGCGATATTCTCCTAACTTCGCAAATTAAAATTAAATTAACTGGAGAGGGTCCATTTCCACTTCTTATACTAGTTTGAAGTACAGAAGTTGCACTATATGCTGATGTATTTTCCAGAAAAAGACCCCTTTTAGTTTTTTGAGATATGTGGCTCTCAATATTAATGAATAATATAATAACTCATACTTTATGTTTTTTTATTCCGCAGCTAGGCAAACTCTTTTTGACTACCATGGCTTTCCGACTTTCTCTTCGGGTCAGGATAATCAGGGATAGTGGGTATTCAAATTTTACTCATTAAGTAAAATAAAAAAGTAAAGTGACAGCTTAAACTCGGTAGAATGTGTTGTTTCGAGTTCAGTTTTAGCAGTTTTACCAGGAAAAGTAAAATTTGAAGGTAAGCTCCCTCTGAATGCCATTGTTCGCTACGCAACCACGAAACGTTTAGTGGACATTTAACACTGGTGAAATTTTCTAATGAGACTGGACGCTGTAGATTTTGCTAATTTTAAACAGCGATATTCACAGTCTAATATTTCCAAAACTAACAAGGATCTTTTTGTGAAAAATAGAGCAATACATAGTACAACTCGTACACCTCAAAGTAGCACAAAAAGCGGAAATGAGTACTCGCTAATTATTTTAATTTTAATTCCTGCTGTCGGCAGAATACGGACTAAATTCAGTGTGTAGCGCTTCTTCTGAGAATGGAAGAAATAGTGTCTCAATAAACATAACCTCTATTAAAATAAAATAAAACGTTTTCCTTTTCTTACACTTATGCCGTTCTATTATATGCAATATATGAAAATAAAGTAGAATGAAGAAGTGTGAGATCAGAGGGAAAGAGAAATAAAACTGGCACTATCATTTTTCAAGTACAGTAGAAATCATTTTTGGTCATGATCTTTTTCTCTCCGTACTTGTTTTTCAACAATGCTGTAATCATGATGTTTTAAAACTCAAGAAATCATTATAGTTCTGCTGCTGTCGGAGCTAAAATTTGTTGTTTTAAGGATTGGTGTAAACTCCTTATTTGTCTTCCGTTGAAAATTTCCGTTTATTTCTGTCACGATTTTGAAGCATACTTGAAACCATCAATATTTGACGCTGATGTTGAATATCGTGTTTATTTTTTGTTGATACATATTTTGAATGTTCATCGACAAAACTGAACTAATTAAAAAATTTAATGATAAAGATGACGATGCATAAAAGTTTTCTTTCCGTTTTAACACTTTTTGCACGATCAAATTAACACATTACAGCTTCCACTTCCTTTATATTTGAAGGGGAAAAATGTGACAATTATCTCTTTTCGTCTATTTATTCTAAAACATAACGCACACGATGATTAAAATTTTAGGTCTGTTACTCTTCTTCACAGACAGTTACCATCAACAAAATCAAGGTGTGTATTTTAATATCATTTCAAATAGTGAATATCATAGTCAGAATAGTTCACCATCACCAAGAAATATTTCAAATATTTCAACTGTACAACAATGTACATTTCAATGTTTTATGACTTTAAATATTTTATGTAAAACCGCTACATATTATGAAATAGAATATTTATGTGTATTATATAACGAAACAATAGATCAAGGTATTGTTTTAACATCCGCATCCATAATCAATACAAAAATAATTTATTTACAACCATCATCATCATCAGGTATTTGATTATGTCCATGAGAAACCTTAAATGATTTTTTTTGGAGGGACAGGCTTTTATTAAGTCACCTTTGTTACAAAATATAAGAAAAACTACTTAAACGGTCTTCAGGTACTTAAGGTGAAGCATTTTAAATTTTTCTAAACTCACTGACGTAAGGCAGAGAAGTATGAAAAAAATCCTATCTTCTAGACTACGGAAGTTTTGGTCCGGCGCCATTTATTTTGTTAAAAAGGAATTTCATTCTTTTTCTCTCTCTCTTCTTGACTTCGTTTTAAACTTTCGTTACTCCGACATAGGGATGCACCGATTAATAGTCGATGTTGGGACATTCAGGAAAACCGTTTCGACTTGGTTATAGTAAATCCCTCAGAATTGCGGAATATCTCGAACTGCGGAATATCTCATTTTGTCTCACAAAATGAGATATTCCGCAGTTCTGAGGGATTTACTATAACCAAGTCGAAACGGTTTTCCTGAATGCCCCAACATCGACTATTAATCGGTGCATCCCTACTCTGTCTTTAGTTGTAACATCGACAACTATCGAAACAACTACATCATCATCACCACCAACGCCGACGGTACGACCGTCTGTTACAATGGCCGACAATCATACTACTGATACTAGTATAGCAACAACAATAAGTAAATAAAACTATAGAAATTTTAACTGTATTTGCTATGAAACACTAAAGTTATAGTCTACAGACAAAGAAATACAACTTTTATTTTTAGATACGACTCAAGTTTCATCATCAACTTCAAGTTTCTTATCGACAATCAGTACTACTGGTAAGTAAAAAATGGCAAAGTGCTTGTCAAAGATGACTCCCCACAAGCTTTGCTGAACTAACATATCTGGAATGTTGAAAAAATCACATTTCTAAAGATACTAGATGATACGGAACCGGACAGATATATTGAATTTCAAGATTGTGCTCGATTTGATGGTAAAATTGCATTCCAATATGATCGACTTCCATAACAAATTATTATTTCAACTTTTTTTTTCATCTGTTTTACATCGTCGGCAGAAAGATTCACGTCTGCTATCCGGTGAGCCCGTTTTTTGAGAAAAATGTGTTTCAATTGTCCTTGGTAACGTCGGCTTGTCGTGCTTTTCTCCAGCCCGTTTGATATATTTTAAAACGTTTTCTTTGACAAACTTCCTCGATGTAACACATTGTAACGCATTTTTGCTTCATATACTTTAGTTCACACCATCATATCTAATCGTCAAATTCCAATATGTGCACAATGGAATGAAACGGGTATCACCGTTGGTGGTCACAGTAATGGCAGTTTCTCATTAAATCAACCACTGGGTTTATTTATTGATTCAACTACTAATAATACATTATATGTTGCTGATTTTTTGAATAATCGTATTCTAGGGTACAGTTCTCTGTCAGATGTAGTCACTACTGTTTACAATGAAACATTTAGTTTTCCAACTACAGTTTATGTTGATAGTAAACAAAATATTTATATTGATGCTTCTGGTACAAATCAAATTCTAAAAATATCATCAACAAATAGTAGTCTTACCGTAGTAGTTAGTTCAGGCACATTCATAAATAGTTATGGTTTTATAATCGATGAACAAAAACAATTATTATACGTATCTGACGATAGTGGACATCGTATTTTACGATGGAACTTAAATACGACAACGTGTAATGTGATCACAGTTATTACAGGTGTAAGAAACCAATCAGGCTCTGACGAACTACATTTGAATTATCCACGTGGACTGGATATAGCAGGAGATGAAGAAGAAGTCTACTTGTATGTTGCTGATTTTGGTAATCATCGTATACAACGTTATTTTATCGGTAACAGCAGTTGTGATAATATAACAAGAGCTGGTATAACCGTTGCCGGTAATGGTACATTAGGAAGCGGTCTAAATCAATTGAATGGCCCACGTAATTTGTATGTTACTAAAAATAATGAAGTATTTATAGCTGATACATTTAATCATCGTATTATGAGATGGTCTTTAAATTCAACTACTGCTAGTGGTGGTGGTGTATGTGTTTTAGGATGTGCAAGTGTAGCTGGTAATGGAACGACTGAATTAAATCAACCATCTGATATAAAATTTGATTCCAATGGAAATTTGTATGTATGTGATACAGGAAATAATCGTATACAAAAATTCAATATTTTAATTGATGACAGCTGTGAGTGAAATTGAGTGAAAAATATACTTTCTCTACACTGTAAAAAATAAAATGAGCCCACTAGTGTACATTTCCTCAAGTGTGCATTTCGAGAAGAATTCTTCTTCTCTTCGGTCTTTTTTCTCGTTCTGCTTGTGGAAGCTAGATGTGCAATTCCAGTGTGTTACATAAGCCGTTTTCAGTGTGCAAAAACAGTCCAACGTGATTTGCACATTCAGTGTGCTCCGGACACACTTTATTTTTTACAGTGCATACATTGAAAATTAAAGAAGACAAACAAATTTTTACCTTGTCAACTAATTAGCACAAAATGTTCTATATTTAACACAGAATTACGTAGAGTGCAGAGTTGTTTTGTATATAAAAATAAAAATAAATGACCTGTCACTTAATGTCGACAAACATCGTGTGAAACCGAAGTACTAGAGAAGAGTAATAACACTCTTCGTAAGGTGCGCGTAATTCAAAAATCGAGCACCATTTTAGTTTTGGCTCATAGTTGACTTTCATGGCTCGACCACTTTCAAATAATGTTTTGCGTAATCAGCGTTAAAAACCACATATAAAAAGCTATACTAACTACCGTGAGTCGTTATTCTTACCTTTTAGAGCCGTAGTCTTATTAAAATTTCTGGTTCATTCAAAATCAACCGAAAGAAGACATTTACTACAATACATGTATTCGAAAAAATATTCCATAAAATTGGTTTGTCAATTATGATTTGTTCTCTTCTAAATTTACAATTGCTCGTAAGAACATTTGCGAAAATTTGTTCTTCCTCAAGAGCGCATCATTTGAAACTGTTCTCAAGAAGATTAAGAAAATTGTTCTCATTGAACGGTCGTCTATGCTTCGTATGTGTTTTTCTTATTGCTATTTCTCTTTTTTTAAGTAGAAATTGAATCTTATACAGATAGAAACATAAGTTACAGAGTATCTAAGAATCAAAACGCTGTGTCTAACGAGGGAACCTCGCCAGGTGATACTTCGACTTTGAATCGAAAGTACCATGGGTAGATAGGTACTGGTATGTTGTAACACACCCCAGCTTGGGGAGGCTAGCTACGAAGTTTTCAACTTACCGTAGTAAAACTGGCTCATGGTGGGTAAGAAATTTGTTTCTCCGTTGTTTGAAGTTTGTTTTTGTTCATTTTTTAAGTATAGCTAGGACAAGTCAACTTCTATAAAAGACTAAAGTTTGACTTCAAACGGACCAAAGCTGATAGAGAAATTTAGCTTACATGTTAAAAGAGCAAATTTGGTGCCAGTGCAAGAGACCTCTCCGGATGACGGAAGCTTTGTTCGTGCTCATATTTTCAGCGTAGGCACACGTAGTTATCTACTATCCAGAATAAAAATTTCAGCTCGTTTGCTTTCCTTTTAATGGAAAACGAGAAACAATACGCATTTTTTTTCTTTTCTGTTTTAAAGATCGTGAACATAATAGAGAATAAAAAAATGGTTAATACAAAGAATCCTTTTGCAATATGCACATGTAAGGAAAGGCACTAAATCATAGTTTGTCACGGCACAGCGAGATTCATCAAAATCCAAGTAGACTTGAGGGACAGTTTGAAAAACGCCTGGATGAATGTCTATGTAGCCACTTTTATAAGGCGCCGGTAATTCAAAATTTCAGCACTTTTTATTTTTCGTTTAAACACACATATTCGAATTCGTTGTATGCTGCTGATTCCGAATCTGGCCTTATTTTTTGATTTAAACAAAGTTTTGACGGA